TTTCAGAGCTTGAATGTAAAAAAGAGACATCTGACAATTTTTTGATGTCTACGTACTTGGTGTATACAATAAATAACATGTTTGGTTGATTTTTTGTTCATGAGTTTCTAAACTGGATATATACATAGTGAGTTGAAATCACGTGTTTATTTTGTTTTATGTTAATCATTTTTCAGATATGGAAATGTAAGATGACTTGATATTTTGTTTTTTTTTTTTAATTTTAAGATAAATAAAATCAGATGAAATGTTGCATGCACGATTTATCATTTGTTGTTGATATATATATATATATATATATATATATATATATATATATATATATATATATATATATATTATTTCTTATATGTATTTTAAATTTTACAGATTTTTGTGTGTTTTCTAAAGATATTAAGTTTTAAACCTCACTAATTTCAAACTAATAATCAAAGAACAAAGTCGTGTAGAGATAAATTAGTTTACTGGTTTTATATATTTTGTTTGTCAGGAAGATGATTTTTTGATTTAGTTAGCATTGGAAAAGGCAAGGGAATTTTGTTCTCAAAATTTTGATTTGTTAATAAAACATTTTAATCTTTATTGTTAATTTGTAATGATATTTTTAAATCATATCTGAATGTTGTTTTGTTAATATTTTCATATGTTGATTAATAACAAATCTAAATTAGCACTTAGATATGGTTTTTGCTTGATTTAAACGGCTAAGTTAAATAAAAAGGTGGATTTAAGAAATATATTATTTTTAATAATCATTTTCTTTATATATATTTTGATTTTTTTTATCTCAAGTATGTCATATATAATGTGACTGGTCGTACCAACTCCAATGGTAAAACACTAAAATGGTGATATTTACACATTAAAATAGTTTTTTCAATCCAATCACACTAAAATGGTGGCTTTTAGAGGCCATGTATTTTGGCCTTTATATTTGGGGTCTAAAATTATCTCACACACTAAAATGATGTTTTTTAGAGGTTGGTTGGAATTAAATAGCCACTTTTTTGGCTTCTAAAATAGTGTTTTAGTGTTCTATTGGAGTTGTTCTCGGTGTGTGTTTATGGAAATAGAAATTACTTTAGGTATCTTCAAGAAAGACATGTAAAGATTTTGTACAGAGGAAGAAGTGTCTACAAAATAGACATGGGTTATGGTGTTTGTCAGTAACTATTATATTGATATATCTAAATTTAAAAGACACAACGTAATTGCTTATATTTTTTGTTAAAAATTCACAAAAAGTATTATTCTTACCACGATTTTCTTTTATTTGAGTAGATGATTACAAGATTTTTATTTAAAATCAAATGTTATAATTTTACATGTTATAACAGAATTTACAGACGAAAAGTCACTTTTTTTCTATTTTTTACATTTCATATAAATTTAAATAGTATTAAAATATATTAAAATGTAAAATAATAAAAAAATATGAAAATTCATGATTTACATTGAGTATTGTGTAATCACCGACAAACTCTCTTTCGTATCACCATCATCACAAATCGAAGTACATTATTAAAACTATTTTTCTTTACTTTAAATTAATCTTTTTTTAGTTTTTTTAATATCTCTCTATTAAATTTTGATTAGTTTATATAAATAGATAATAAAAAAATGTTTTTTTAATCATATTAAATTATTATTATGATTTTTCTAAGTGTCAAAAAATTTATCGTACATAATAAGATATAGATATTTAGTTATATAACGTTGTCTTATAAGACAATTTATGACAAATGTATAAATACTGTTGAATACATATATAAATTATAATTAGAAAATCTTAATTTTATGCTTAGTAACATTTTTGTTTATTATTTAATACTTTTTGTATTGTTTATCGCTTATTGGTTGAAATGAAACTATTTACCACGCACCAAAAATAAAAATTTAGAAACAAAACTATTAAAAAAAACAATCCATCACCCACTGAAAATAAACTAATTCATTGAATGGAAACTAATTGTCGTCCAAGTTTTTATTTTTATCTTTTACTCTTCAACAAGTCTAAAGTTTAAACTTTAATGGTAATTGGTATTTCTAAATACAGTACGTATATTTAGTAATATGAGATGTTTTTATATACAAACAAACCTTGGATAAGAAAATTATCAACCACCAGCCGCATGGAAATAAATAGCCATAATAAAACTATTTTTGTGGACACTTAATTTGTGAAGATAAGAGAGTAAAATAATTTTTTTGAACTTCAAAAAACTAATTTCCTTTTTTTAACTTAAATAGAAACATTTTATATTTAACCCAAAATAAGGATGTAATTTTATGTATAAGGCTATAAGCCAAAGTAGCGCGCTTTTAACTTTAACACAAAAGTAAAATATTTTTTTTTTTGAAACCAAACTAAAATCGTATTTTTAAAGCAACCTGCCAAAAAAAATTAACCGACAAAAGAAACTATTTGACACCGCTGCATCGTGCGGGTACCCAACTAGTATATATATATATATATATATATATATATATATATATATATATATATATATATATATAATATATATATATATATAATTTAAAGGTGATCTTGTATTAGTTTAACATAAAAGGTAAAAACTCCTATCAGCGAACAAAGGCTTTTTTTTTTTTTTGTAAAACTCCCAAAACATTGTGCCTAAAGACGAACTTTGTCTACTAAACAAATACTCCATCCGTCCCAAAATTATTGTCCACTTACAAAAAAACACATAGATTAAGAAAAAGCAATCATTAGTTTTGTCTTTTTGAGTAAAAAATGACCCTGTTGCCCTTTTCTAAAACCAATAAAAAATATGCGTTTGAAATTATTCAAGTTTACTTTATTAAATGTTAGGGGTAATATGGTAAAAATGTATATGTACTTTTGGTAGTGGACAATAATTTTTGGACAAACTAAAATAGTAAGGTGGACAATAATTTTCAAGTTTACTTTATTAAATGTTAGGGGTAATATGGTAAAAGTGTATATGTACTTTTGGTAGTGGACAAACTAAAATAATAAGGTGGACAATAATTTTGGGACGGAGGGAGTAATATATAAACTAGGTGAATCCTAGTGCGATGCGCAAAAATATAACTATATAAATAAAAATAATAACTTTTATCAAACTATAATTCAATATTTATACACGAAAAACCAATATTAATAGCAACACAAACCTATAGCTAATTTATATTTTTATTAAGCACAATAATTTTAAATAATTTGTTATGCCATCCAATAATTGATTTTTTTATTACCTTTTTAAGTTGTGTATTGTGTAAATTGTATATAAAACACATGTTGATTTCTACATATAACAAATAACAATAAGAACGAAAAAATATTTTAACTTTCAATAATATAAAAACACTACAACATTACTATAACATATGTAACAAAAAGCTTATTTAACACTTATAAATCATACAAAAAGATTATAAAAATCAACATATGTTTTATATATAAAAACACTAATATCTCAAGAAAAATCTGCATTATTATAATCATTGACGTGTCAAAACTTTCACATTTGAATTTTTTTCAAGCACTATGAATTTTTTTGTGAACAAAACTTACTTATATAGCTTAAATGTGTACAAATGAAAGGAAAAAAGACATTACCAATTAATAAGCTGAAAAAACTATTGACATGTAATGATTAGTTAGCTTAAATTTGAAATCATAAATACACATAAATTAGAAAACTTTTAAGTTGCAGTAGGAGTTTCAAATGAATAAGATTCAAGTATTTTGAACTTTATTATAATAGATATATAGATAAATATTATCGCTAATCAAGAAATTTGCAATACAACAAACCTTATTAAATTAAGTTAAAAAAATGCATCTTGAAAGCTATGCTGAAGAATCAACTAATAGATTAAGACGAAAGTAACCAACTATAAAAGGTATGAGAACTTGTATCCATCTTTTTTGAATCTAGATAAGAAATAAAATTGTTCTTTTTTAACAAAAAAATGAGATTAAGAGCAAGTGAAAATATATCACCCGAATGAAGGAATATAGCGATTTAGTTATGAAAAAAATGAGGCTGTTAAACTCATCCAAAAAGGCAACAAATTTTTGAAAAAAAAATTGTGTAAAAACAAAGATAATGCAGCAACAACAAGAACAACAAAAAGTATCATAACCAAGACGTGTAAGTGTTGATGTTTAGAGGCAGTAAATGGAAGAGGAGCATTAAGGTAAAAAATCAAAGCAATCAAAATTCTTTTAGGTATGATTGTTTCATTTCTTTAGATAAAACAAACTTCTTTTTACATTCTATGATGAATCACTTCAGTCCTGCTATCAAACACATAAATGAAATGTTTATATATGAAACTGCCAGCATATGATCCTTGTAACACCATTGTATCAAAACATGGACAGATTAATTGCCAATAAATCAATAATGTTGACATCCAAAAGATCAAAGAGAAAACATTTGCTAATGCTAACAAAATCTTTTCCAAACAATAAGAACAGAATATGAATGATAACAGATACCGGATCTTGCCATGAAAAAGTGATTCTTAAGTCAATCCTAAGCAATCCTAAACAAAAATCAAAACCATAATCTTAATAGATTCTGGGGTTTAGTTCTTTGGATGCAAAGCGAAACTGAATTCAATACACAAGGACCTGAAATCATTCAGTGTTTAAGGAAATCACACAAGTCATTCTATCAAATTTTGCTATTTTCATACCCAATCTGCTTCAATTGTTATCATTTCATGTTCATTAGAGGAAAGAGATGATAAGACACAATCATGCCCAATGTATTCGAACCAAATTAGACATCATCGTCCTCAAAGATACTAAAATCTCATACTCATTGGGAAATAAACTCAATTAAGAAATGTTTACCTAATAGATTCAGTAACTATCAAATGCAACAGAAATATCACTCAAAATAAAACACTTCAAAAAAAAAATGTGAACTACCGGTAATCAAAGTTTATCATGATATTGACGAAGACGACAAAATTTAAACCAGAGACAACTCATCTTATACTTAGAAGCGGAGCTTCGAGAAAAACCAACGGTTTTTTCCAGTCTTGAATCGGTCCTCGAGCCGTGCTTTGATCTCCTTGCAAGCAGTAACCTTCTTGTCACGTGACTGAAGTGCATCAACCGTTACAACGTCCTTCAGATCTACGTCGAGGGTGTACCTCGTCGGCATGATGTGGTTGTAGTTAACGAGCTTGATGAACGCCTTCACACGCGACTTCTTCGCTGTCTTCTTTGCTGAATCCTTGCGAATCACCTTCTTTGGGTACTTTGCGATTCCGGCAACGAGGCAGTGGCCGTAAGGTCGGTCACGAGTGCCGTCGTCAAATTGCCTAACAATGACCGCCTTCCTGCCGGCAAAGCGTCCATTGAGGACAACGACGGCCTTATTGGGCTTCAAAAACTTCACCATCTCCGATTCCTCTCGATGTCCTCCGCCGCCGCTGCTCAAACAAAAGTATGCACCAAGCTATTGCTAGGGTTTCGAAAACTCGACTGACCATTTCTATTTATAATGTAGTTATTAATAAAATTACGGAATTGCCATTAGGTTTTCTCTTTGGTCTTATGCAGTTTATACCCTTGTTCTTTCATCATGGTGCAGACGAGCACCTTGAACTTTGAAGTGTCTCTTCCATGTTTGTTTTTTTTTTAACCATACAATATCTATTCTAATAAATGAATTGTTTTAATATCCTTTTGTCAAGTGTCACTCTAATATAACTCATCATTAATATTAGGTCATGTGTCATGTAGATATATTAGACAACTCATTTCAAAATTCAAATTTATATTTTCTAACTAGGTTATAACCCGTGGAAACCACGGTCGGTATATTTAAAATTTCTATATAAATAAAAATAATAATAAATGTAAAAAAACCAAGATATTGTCGATTGTAAGTAATTATGAATTAATTTGTTAAGCAAAATAAAATAATAATGTTATTAGGATAAGATTTTGTATTTTCAAAATTTGGATTAAATATGATTTGTTACAAAAAAAAAGGAAATAATAAAAATCATAGAAAAATGTCACGTGTCAAAGAGTCATTCTAAAAAACTGACACGTGTCATTTTTAGGTTTCATTTATTAGAAGAGGTACATAATAATAAATGTAAAAAAAAACAAGATATTGCCGATTGTAAGTAATTATGAATTAATTTGTTAACCAAAATAAAATAATAATGTTATTAGGATAAGATTTTGTATTTTCAAAATTTGGATTGAATTTGATTTGTTAAAAAAAAAAGGAAATAATAAAAATCATAGAAAAATGTCACGTGTCAAAGAGACATTCTAAAAAACTGACACGTGTCATTTTTAGGTTTCATTTATTATAAGAAGTAGAAGTAGATTATATGTTAAATTTGAAGTTATAATAACTTTAAAAATTTGATATATCTCTTAATTAATAATTTATTTAAAATGAATTATTTAAAATAATTGATTAATAATTATATTTTTTTATTATAAAAGTTTAATTAATTTTATAATCGTGGTTCTCACGGGTTATAAACTAGTTATCTAAATATATTAAACTAAGGTCATCCACATCAGTGCAATGTCACTAATTTTTCGATTGTGACACATCAGTTTTGCAATGACTACTCACATCAGTGCAATAACATTCATCTTTCAAAAATGGTCCCCACTGCCACATCAACTATTACTTTATATATATATATATATATATATATATATATATATATATATATATATATATATATATTAATGTTTACTCAATAATAAATCAACATAAATTACATTAGTTAAATTTAAATCTTTTATTTAGTTAATAAAATAATTACGAAATAGATAATCTAATAATAGTATTTTAATCGACCAATCACTTAAGTAATTATGAAACGAGATAATGATTTAAAGATGTGTAATATATTAACTAGCAAATCGGTAAATAAAAATCACGATGATACTTTAATCAATTAAACAAGTGATTTAATTAAATAATTGAAAAGCATTGTAATATAATTATATATAGCAAGTAGCACATTGATGAGTGGAGGGACCCACTTTTGCATTTGAAAGCCTTTCTATATTTGCAAGAACTTGTTGAGTTGGATTTGCCATGTCATGTTCACAGAGGTTTGCTAGTTCATTTACAATACCGCTGTGGATGCTCTAAGGTTCATGAAAAAAAAACTCAGCATTTTTAATAAAACATATGATAACTTATAATCTAAAAAAGTTTTTGGTAGTACTGTTTGTATTTAAAAAACAATAAACGTACTATTTGAAAGAAATCCGAGTTGATTGAATATATGATACTATTTTGTCTGAATCATGTGAAAATGGGATCCCAAACTAAAGTAAGCTTGTATGAGACTATGAACATGAAAATATAATACGTGTATAGAGAGGAAAATGTGTTAAGTATAGTCAGAGTAAGTTTAGATAGCTTGAAGACAAGTTGGTGCGTCCAACAAATCAAACTAAAATCGTTATTGTTTTTGCTTTTAAAAAATATTTATTTTGAAAATCAAATTAACTTTATTTTCGGTAATTTTCTTCATGTTCAAAAGTGTTTGATAAATCATAACTTCCTCACATGTTTACATTTATAATATTTATAATGTATGTAATGAGTAATGACATTTAAATTTAATTAGGAATGAATCATCCTCGGTGTTGAAAATGGATGTTGTTACAAAATCAAATAACGAAAGTGAACAAGTAGACATAACCCATGGTGACTCGACCAAACGTTAATCCAATCATAAATTATCAAACAACGTCTACTTGTTTACATAAAATAATAATTTATCCTTAGGGTTTTTTAGTGAAAGCTTTGTCGGGTGAAGTGGTCCCATGATTTACAAATGGTATCACGTTCAGGATATCAGTAGAAAGCGTTACACTCAAGGTCCTTTCGGTTTCAATTTTTGCATGAGTGGTACATGTGGTTTTATTTTGTTACAAATTTGATCTAAAATTACTATTTTACTCTTATTAGACATTTCATTGAACTTTATTTTTATAATTCAATTTAAATTTAATAAAAAACTATTTTTAATTTTAAACAAAAAACCTTATTAAACCACACTACACCCTTTTTTTCCCACTGGTTCCCCACATCATCGAGTTCATCTTCCCAATGTCATACTTCCGTTGGAATCAACACCCTCCTCCCCCCCCCCCCCCCCAAAAAAAAAAAAACCACCATGGACCTCTGTTATCATCACCACTTCTTCTAACATCACCAGTTACCTCCATTCTCTAATGTCTCATCGCCAACATCATCTCCAAGCAACGGTAATCCTTTAACATCTTCAAGAACTGATAAAGACTTATATTTTTATACAAATTAATTGATATATACAAAATATTTTGTATACAAAGATGAACATATGTCTATTTGTTCATTATCGACTCCTCATCTTCATGTACAAGTTCATTATCGATGCAACACACGTGTTTTGGTCAAAAATCAACTAGGTGGATATCAACCAAAGTATATGAGAGACTGTGGTGCTGTAAGTAAAACGATTAACGAAATTAGAACAAGATTACACAAGTGGTTTACAAGGAAATCCCTTGATCCTTGCTAGGATTTCCGACACAAAACCTTGGGAGGTGATAATTATCACCTTATTTGATGATTTTATTGATCGAAAATGATCGATTACAGAGAATATGTAAAGAGTATAAATACAAATGTTATTGTTTTGCTAAGTCTCGTGTGCAGTGTGATGAATACAAGTGATTTGTATAGTCAAAGGATAATAACTAGTGAAAATTATGGGATCCTCCGAGATCAACTTATAGTCGTTGCTTGCTGAGGTGGTCCTCTGGGTCTTTTGCATGGTTGTGACGACTATTTGTTGAAAGCATGACTTTGACTAGTTATTTCTGCACATGTGAGAAGGCAAAAGAATATCTGGCTGTTATAAATAATAAAAAATATTAGTCAGGATCCTGGAGTATATTCGGAATCCTGAGGTTTGAGGATCCTGAGCCTTTGAGGATCCCTAGTCTTGAGGATCTCAAATTAGTTCCGAGATCCTATCCCTAACAACACGTATCTTCAGGTATTGTTCTTTGAAGTTCTATGTTATTAAAATGTTTATTTTTGGAAAGTTATGTCTTACGCTGAGCATAGTATAGTCCCATCCGTTGAGTATATGAGAGAGATTTGATGTGGATGTTTAATGACCTATGTTAAACATAGGTTAAGCTACGTTGAGCGAAAGTGTCTTGGACCAAAACCCTAAACCTAGGGGTTGGTGAGCCCTATTTAAAGGCTCTAACTCAATGGGATCCTCCCCATGCATGCTCAACCTCCACCTTCATAAGCAACCACCTCGAAACTCTAGCAACCATGTGTGAGTTTTGAGCTCTTACAGTGTTTTGTGTGCATTTTTGAAGGAAGAGTTGCATCGTGGAACCATTTGGAAGCTCCAAGCCTTTTAGATTTAGAATTTGCATCACATCATCCACCTCCACAAGGTATAAAGCTTTTATCTTGGTGCTCATTCATGTTAGATCTAGTTTGATTATAAGTTTATATGCTTTTTGTCCCCATAACCTGGTCTTTGTGAGTATGAGTTACTCCATACCATTTGAGTGCCATTTCCAAATGTCTTTGGGGTTGTTGAGTCATAAAAATGCGAGCTTGGTCACTCTCATCCATCCATGCATGAGTTCTTGAGCAACAGAAGACTTTATAAAATTAGGGGATGGTTTTGTGCTCGTTGATGGCATGCAAATGGATAAATTCAGAGACTTTATCCATTAAGATTTTCATTAGATCGGATCTGAAAGTTTAAGGAGCTAACTTATGTATTAAGAGCTTAATGAAGTTTTGGGACATCAGATGGCTACGTTGAGCATAGATTTCTCTACGCTAAGCGTAACATAGAAAAAGACCCGTTTTTCAGGAGCTCTACGCCGAGCATATAACAGTATGCTACGTTAAGTGTAAGTCAACTGAGGGTTGATCGTTGACTTTTTGACCAAGTTTGAATTTTGGTCAAATGTGTTGAGATTTAGTCTTGGAAAGGCAAATGGTCTTTTGCCCCTATGAGAGTTAGTTATTACCTTAATTGTTAATTAGGGTTTATTATGTATGTTAAGCGTGAGGAGATTCGATACCATCAGCTTGAGTGTATGGTTTGTATTGTCTTTGGATTGAAGTGAGTCTTATCACTATATTATGTAGGATGCTAGTTGTCACACCTTCCACGGCCGCTGGCGGAAATGTCGAGTGGTGACGGTATTTACATAGATTACCCAAATCACAGAACGCAAACCATAATTATCTCTTTGTAAACAAAATATATTACAAGGAATTAAATGAAACCTATCTATCTTCAAGTTGATTGTCCTTCCTTACCTTGATCCTTATTCCATCATAGGAATACATACGATTTTGAAAACGTCAACTTGATGTTG